TTTTTTTTTTTTTTTTTTTTTTTTTTTTTTTTTTTTTTTTTTTTTTTTTTTTTTTTTGGAAGATTAGAACACATGTCATCATATCAACCATGTGTTCAAAGAAGTTAGGGCTTAGTTAAAGGAGGAAAATAAAAATGGTTTGTACGGTACGTATTGGATTCCACGCAGTGCTTAAAAAGAACCACACAAATAATAGAATGGGTAATTATTAATTATTAATTATTTATATATATATAAATGTATAGTAGTAATTGTGAAAATTGGAAGTTGGGCCATCGGAGTTCGAACCGCATTATTTGGGATGGTTTTAGTTTTATTGGGTGATAAGAAAGGACACGTGGTGGGGCCTTATTGGTTAGCATGATGAGACAGAGGAGCACCATATTGCTGCCCATTCAAATCCCAACACGTAGTCTAAGCTTCCACGTGGGCACCCGAGTAGTGTGGGACCCAAATTTCTATTCATTTGGCCCTTCCCCCAGTCCCACTTGGCACTTTCCATATTTTTTCTTTATTTTTTTGTTGCTATAAAAATATGGGCAAATCTTGAAATGAATAAACATTTCAGTCAGTAAAAATAAAATGTGCCATCTCAGGGGGGGTAGGCTACATTTAAGGAAATGGAGCTTGCCAATGCCATATAGTAATAACCTTTATTTTTCTTTTTAATTTTATTCTAATAAATAATTCGAAACTCCAAAAACAAGAAAAAGGATAGAAGGAAGTGCATTTAATTTACGCAGTATGATAGGGTGAGAAATATGTTTTTGATATTGCAATCATTGAATTTTGACTAATTTACCTAAAAAACCTTAATTTCCTTTTCTTTTTTAAAAAATAAATAATAAAAATGGAATTCAACCTTCTTTTTATCGAAAAGTTAATTTCTAACTGCATTATTGTCTTTTTTTTTTTATTAAGAAAATAAACAAAATTAAAAACATATTTCTTTTGACTTATGAAACAACCATGAACAAGAAAACAAGAGAAAAAAGCTGAGACATGAGGACATTAACAGAATAGAACCTTATTTGTCTTTTTCTATTGCAGTGACACATTGGTTTTTTTTTTTTTTTGTTTGAAATAATTATATATATCTCTGGAATTTATATTGTTAGAAGAGAGAATTAGTGTGGCAGTACCAGGTTTGGATGTGAAGATAAATCATGGGGAAATACAACGGCCATGATTCTTGATTCTTTTCCCTGAAGGAGCTCTTAATATTTATTTTCTTATGTGTATAATATAGGGAGAATTTAAAGGAGAGATGAAAGTGGAAGGAATTATTAATAAAAGAAAAGAAAATAAAGATGATAAAATGCGAGGAAGGAAGGAAATGATGAGAATCAAATCGAAGTAATTAACTAAAACCCACACCCGAACAGAGAAAACGGATAAGGCGGTGCTGGATTACTCTCCTCCACGGTTCCCATCATTTCCGTCGAATTCTTCATCTCTCCGCCGCTTCTGCTTCTACTTATATCCATTCCACCCGCCTCCGCTTCCGCCAAATTCCAAGCCTGCACGTGATTACAGAATCCCGCCGGTCCCGAAACCTCCGGCGACGAAAAATTCGGCCGCCAGCTGCCCTCCTCCTCGATTTCCTCTGCCTCCAAGGACGTCGTCGTCATTGTTGTGGTGGACGGCGATGAGGAAGAAGACGAAATCATCAATCGGCGCTTCTTATCCCCAATATGAGCGCCGGGTCGATCCTTCTGAAGCATCATCCGAGGCAGAATTTCAGGATCTTCCGCCACTTTATGAAGAAACGCCATCATTTGTTGTGGTCGTTTCTCGGTAGTTTCGAGACGTTTTTTCATGCCTTCAAGCTCCTCTTCCAAAACCTTCTGTTCTTTTCTAAGCCTGGCAATCTCAGTCACCAATTCCTCGTCCCCCATCTCGCACAGCCTCGAATTCGTACTCTGTTTTCTCCTGACAATGTTTCTGAGTAAATGGAATTGGTCGCGCAGAAACCACTGGTTTGCAAATTCCCATCTATCGGGATCTACCTTCCGAAATCCCTACTCAAAACAAAACCCACAATCAAAAAACAGCAAGAAAAAAAAAAAAAGAGAATCAAATAAGGAAATCGGAAATGACATACGTATGTATTGAGCTGTCGGACGAAGCTGGAGAAGTTATTATGCTTAAAATAGGCAGGCAAGAGAGTGTGAGAGAAATGGAGAGGGTCGAGGACGAGGAAGCTGTTATTGGCAGAGCCCCAAGTAATGAAAGTATCGGTAAGGGGATCGTTGACCATCTGATAAGTCTTCAGAACAAAAGGGGCGACAATGTCGTTCGCAGACTCGCTGTTGGCGTCCATCCCATAAGCTTTTTAGAGAAGCAGCTGCGGACGGAGGAGAATTTTTGGAAAGATGAGGGAGCACTGTAAATAAATAATGGACGCGCGTACTGTAGCCAGAGGGGGAGGAGGGGGCAGGTAACGTGGCAGTATGTGATATTTTTGGAAAAGGAGAGAGAGAAAGAGAAGGGGGCCCACGTTTCAAAACCCTATTGGCCAACGCCGTTACATTTACAAAGATATTTTCCCCACTTATTTAATTTATCCAACATATTTATAAATATGTAGGAATTTAATAACAGCAAAATAAAATAAAAAAACAAAATTGGAAGGCGCGTGGCAGGGACGTTCTGAAATAAGATGAGAGCCAAAGGTGGGTTGGGCTTAAGATTCCAGCAGAGGCACACGTGCGCTGGGAGGGGGAGTGGATTTAGGGAGGCGTGGTGGCTTGGTATGTGGACACGTGTGAGGGCATTATTTAGAAAAGCAGGAAAAAGTAGGGGGCATTTTGTAAAGTGGTGTTTTGAGCTGGGGAGCAGGTTTATGTGTGCTCCAATACTCTTGATTGTGGGTTTCCATTTATGCAGGATCTTATTTTACCCCTTGTCGCCTTCCTTTCCTTTTTTATATACATATGTAATTATGCATTGCCGACAACGTGACTAATTTTCATGTACGATAACTGAATTTACATAATACATATAGATATTCTTATTTCAACAAATAACTCTTATGAACTGTAAGACAAAATAAATAAATTATTTGTAAGCGGATCTTGTCGTTTTTTGACACAAAATTGAATTCGTTAATAATATCTTATCTTAACCCACAAATTTAATCATACAAAGGATTAACGAATTTGATTCTGGAAAAAATAAATAAAAATTGGGTTGAAATTTCCAGCTTCGTTCTTGCAAGTTCTAGGAGATGCAAGAGAATGGCTAAACAATTGGTGAAGCAGATTGATTTAGCGGCTGATCGTTTGGGTTAGTGATTAGAGACAATGGCTAAACAATTAAAAAGCTTGTCTTTATTTTGTTTAAGGTCTAAGTTTGATTAACAACTCCAGATTAAGACATCGCCAATTTTCATACAATATTGTATTTTTGACTGATTTCCCACCTAATTTCATTAAATCCACTCGACAAAGTTTCATAATTGCCAAGTCGGCAACTAAAATCCACCAAAGGTTGCAGAATCATGTGTAACCTTCTAGTTCTTTTTTTTTTTTTTTTTTTTTTTAACA